ATAGACAAATCACGGTTTAATAAGTTATTATTAGATTATTTTTAGATTTCACCTCTCCTGCTGAGCATGAGCCAAGCTGTTGAATGGTTAGCATATAAGGCGGCTAGGCTAAGCTAGCTTCAATTTTGATTGAATTATTCTGTAATCGGTTGCCTATTATGTCATGAATATACCCCTGTAATGTATACTGCAGTTCTTTTTTTTTTGTCTGGCTTTCTCGGATATCTCGCCAAAAAATATCTCGGATATCTCGCCTGGAAATGTCTGACACCGGCGCATACACATTGATAAAGCCGTGCCAGGCACGAAAGCTTGACAGGCGTAGCAACAGTAACTGAGGAGGGCGGGGCTTAGCGAAGGGTCAATTACATCTGTTTGTTGTTTTTTGCAGGTGGAGAACATCCTCCTCCATGACAGAGGACACTATGTTCTGTGTGATTTTGGCAGCGCCACTATGAAGTTTCAAAACCCCCAAAGTGAAGGAGTGACTGCGGTCGAGGACGAAATTAAAAAGTAATTCTCTCTAATCAGCTGGTTCTGTGAGATTTAATTGGCTTTAAAGCATGTGGCAACCCGTAGAAGTGGCTGAGTCATGCAATCAACTCTTTTAATTGATTTCTTAATAATGTGGATCACCCGTAATGGGTTTGAATTCTTTATTTATTTAGTCTCCTCTTAATATAACATACAGTATCATACAAAAATACATACAAATTCTTCACAGTTTAGAAAAATATACTGTTTAGAGGATTAGAAAAAATAATTAGGAAAACAGTGATTTGTTTTAATTACTCACTATTTTTTTTTCTTAAATGTCTGTTTTCGTGCAGGTACACAACACTATCCTATCGTGCTCCTGAAATGGTGAACCTGTACAATGGCAAAATCATCACTACTAAAGCGGATATCTGGGTAAGTAAAGATGCAGGAGGTTTCACAGCCAATCAGAAAATGCATCATGAACAGCAATGCAGTAATTGGCAGACAGCACAGCGGATAGAAATAAATAAATAAATAGATTTAAAGCACATTTAAAAAACACTTTTTTAAATTCTTTTTTTTTATTGAACATTTTTATTTTGCACAAAGCCCGAGATCCACCCAACAAAAAGTATAAAATAAAATAACAGTAATATTCTAATCATAAGTACAAAATCAGAATTGAAACATATCTGATACTGTCTCTTATATTTAACCAAAATGTTTTCACTGGCACCATTTATTTAGGGTGCTTTCACACCTACACTTTTGTTTCGGAACGTGTCTCGTTTGCCCAGTTAGCGCGGTTCGATTGGCATATGTGAACAGGGCAATCGCGCTCTGTTCCGCGCCAAAGTAATCGCTCCGAGATCGCTTGAATGAGGTGGTCTCGGCTCGATTGAAACGAACCCTGGAGCGGTTCGATTGCAGTGAGAAAGCGATCCGATCCGAGCGCGGTTATATCACAGTGTTTTATGGATATGTAATAGGCTTACGGCTATATGAAGAGAGAATTATGAGTAGGGCGGGTAGTTTCCGGATGCCCGCAAACGAGTAATGATCTCCCGGTAATCTTGCGTCTCCCTCCCAGTCTTCAAATAGGCATCGTCGCGCACCCTTCTCACCCCTCCCCACCCCTCCCCACCGTGTCTCTCCTCAGACACGTCCCGCACGCACCCTGTCAATCACCACCAAACCACCACCTCTCCTGACAGCTGAGCGGGACGCTGCAAAATAAACCCTGACACTCTGACCAATGTGAGGAGAGTTTACTCGCACGTGACTTGTTTTAGCTCTTTTGGTCCGATTAGAAACTTTGCAGTGTGAAAGCGAACCGCTCCAAGAGCAAAGAGCAACTATGTAACAATTTTAATCTCTGTTTCGGAACAAATGAATCGATTCACAGGTGTGAAAGCACCCTTAGTCTCTGGTGTATTCCACACTAATAATGTCCAGTAGACAGAGCCTTCAGGACAGATAAACACATTTCTTCAAAACGCTTTGAGTCTTTTTTTATGTAGTAAGTTTATACTTGTCAGAACACATTTACAATTTAACTTTTTTTTGTTGTTGATTTATTATTGTAATATATTAAAGCAGTGTTTCTCAACCATGTTCCTGGAGAACCACCATCTCTGCACAATTTCCATGTCTCCTTAACCAAAGACACCCGATTCATCAGCTCATTAGCAGAGAATGTAGGACCTGTGGCTCAGTAGTTAGCATTATCGCCTCACAGCAAGAAGGTCACTGGTTTGACTCCCAGCTGGGTCGGTGGGCATTTCTGTGTGGAGTTTGCATGTTCTCCCCATGTTGGTGTGGGTTTTCTGCCACAGTCCAAACACATGCGCTATAGGTGAATTGATGAACTATATTGACGTTGTGTATATGTAAGAATAGTAATAAGTATGCTGAATAAGTTAGCGGTTCATTCCGCTGTGGCGACCCCTGATAAATAAAAATACTAAGCCGAAGGAAAATAAATGAATGAAAGACCTGTAATAATATGACAGACAAAAGAGACATCTAAAACATGCAGGGTTGGTGGTCCTCCAGGAACGTGGTTAAGAAACACTGCGTTAAGGTATGTAATATGGTGTTTTTGGTTTGCAGTCTTAAACTATCACAAATTATGACAACTTTTGGCAATACGGTTTTATTTTAAATCAAACATTTATCTGTAAGTGCTTTTAATTTGTAAGTACAATACAAATCAAGTACTTTTGTACTTTGAGACAAAATCAAAAAAGCAGTATTAGTTTAGGCGAGGCAGTGGCGCAGTAGGTAGTGCTGTCACCTCACAGCAAGAAGGTCGCTGGGTCGAACCTCGGCTCAGTTGGCGTTTCTGTGTGGAGTTTGCATGTTCTCCTTGCCTTCGCGTGGGTTTCCTCCGGGTGCTCCGGTTTCCCCCACAGTCCAAAGACATGCGGTACAGGTGTATTGGGTAGGCTAAATTGTCCATAGTGTATGAGTATGTGTGTGTGGATGTTTCCCAGAGATGGGTTGCGGCTGGAAGGACATCCGCTGCGTAAAAACTTGCTGGATAAGTTGGCGGTTCATTCCGCTGTGGCGACCCCGGATTAATAAAGGGACTAAACCGACAAGAAAATGAATGAGTATTAGTTTATTAGAGAATTTATACTTGTACTCAAGTGCCTGATTTGTGTGCTTCCACCACTCATTGATTTATTAGAAAGCAACTTAAGGGGATAGTTCACCTAAAAACGAACATTTATTCACCCTCAAGTGATTCCGAACCTTTGAGTTTCTTTCATTTATGAGGTATTATAAAAAATATTGCAAACTTGTAACCATTGACTTCCATAGTATTTGTTTCTCTTAGTATGGAAGACAGTGTTTACAGGTTTCCAACATTTTTCAAAAGATCTGCTTTTGTGTTTAAAAGAAGAAACTCTTATAGGTTTAAAACTTGTAAGGGGTGAATAAATGATGGCAGATGTTTCATTTTTGTGTGAACTATCCTTTTAATCAGAATTAAAGTGTGGAAGAAACTTGAGGAAATGCTGCAGAATGCTGATATATGCCTCTTTCTGAAAAGCATTACGTAAAACTATTCAGCTCTTTAGGAATTATTGTGAATAGATATCAAAGCTTGATCTGACATGAAGGTACTGAAGGAAAAGTGAGCTTTAATTAAGCTTCTTCAAGGCTGTTTATTGTGTGTCCTCAGTCTTAACAGATGTGTTTCTCATAGTGTAAAGTGACATTGATTTTTCTGTCTTTCCTTCAGGCGATGGGCTGTCTGCTTTATAAACTCTGTTTCTTCACGTTGCCCTTCGGTGAGAGTCAGGTGGCCATCTGTGACGGTAACTTCACCATTCCGGACAATTCCCGCTACTCGCAGGACATGCACCGCCTCATCCGTGAGTTTCTGTCTTTTATGTGTGTCTCCGGCTCACCACTGGGTCTCGCTTAAAGTGGGTAGTTTGGACAAAAATGGAATTTTTAACGTTTATAAACATAATAGTTGTAATAACTCATTTCTGATAGCTAATGTCTTTTGTCTTTGGCATGATGACAGTACATTTTATTTTGCAAGATAATAGTATTCAGCTGAAAGTACAGTTTAAAAGCTCAATTAGGTTAACTAGTTAGGGTAATTAGGGTAAGTTAGGGTAATTAGGCCCAACAATTAAGCTATTGCCCAAAAGTAGTTTGTTCTGTAGACAATCAACAAATATTTTTTAAGGGAGCTAATAATATTGACTTTTTTTAACCAAACTAAAAGAAAAAATATGTAAAAAGGAATTTATTTATAGTCTTATTAATTTAATAAAAAATATATTTCATTCAAAATGAATTTTAAAAACATGTACGCGCGCACATGACAGTGTAAAGGATCACACACTAGACGCGCACATTTGCATGATCTTTAACATGAAACTAATCAGATGGCCCTCTGTGGGGCGGCAGAAATATGAACTGCGTTCTGAGTCATGGCTGGGCGCCGCCGACTTGCGGCGCCGGTGTGTGTACCCTGACAGAAACTTGTGTTTAGAATTCTAAAATGCGTGGCGTTGCGTGTCGCGTCGCCGAGCAGCTCTTCTGGTGTGCGACCTGCTTTACACTATTGTATACAAAAAGAACAAGGACACTTATAAGGCAAAACTAATTCTTAATAAATGTATTGGTCAAATTAAGTTAATTTGATATATTTAATAAATTATTATATATATATATCTCGGCCCTATATTTTATATATATATTTAATATTTGTGTATATATATTTAATATTTGTGTGTGTATATGTGTATATATATATATATATATATATATATATACACAAATATTAAATATATTTAAAATATAGGGCCAATATATATATATATATATATATATATATATATATATATATATATATATATATATATATATAATATTTAGGCCCAATCCCAATTCTTCCCCTTAGCCCTTCCCCTTATTTTGCGCGTTCACTTCAAAGGGTAGAGCTGACCCAATTCTCTTTCGCTTGAAGGCGTAGGGCTAAGGGGTAGGGGTATAATAGCCCTTCGAACGAAGATTTTTAGGACCACACTCAAAACCAAGGGGTAAGAAAATTTCCCAGAATACACCAGCCACAGCGGCAGTATTGCTGAACCCAGAGGTAAGGAGATCCACAGATTAGTATTTTTTTGTCATTATTACGAATTTTTACAACAAACAAGCACGTTTTAATATATTCATAAATGCGTTCGTGTTTTACCGTCATGCTTTAAAATAAAACACGATAAAAAAACGCAAAATTTTGCGATCTATAATACGCAATCAAAACTCCTGTACAGCAGTCCCACAACATTCTGGCACTTAACTACACTTGAATACCCTGTCAGAAAAGTCTAGTGGCTGAGAATGAGCTTTTTACAATGTCTGCTATAATGTTAATGTTGTTTTTGGTGTGTTTACATAGATGAATATGGCCTCTGTGTAAATATACAATACAGTTATGATCTTATTGCCACATTATATCGTTATGATAACATAATATATGCCTTCAGTGATCTCCTGAAGATTAATACCAAACAATACCACAACTGGAATCACTCCAGCAGTTGCGATCGTCTGATCTCATATGAAGCAAGAGATCATGATGACATATGATGACGTGTGCTGTAGTGCTGTCTAAATGTTGAAGCCCTTCCCCCTCACCCTCAGTTGTTAAGGGCCAAGGGAAAGGGAAAGGGGTACAAAAATAGAATTGGGATTGGGCCTTAGTGACAATTATTTTTAATTTTTTTTTTTTTACTATTATCATCTTTTACACTTTTTGTGTATCTGCCTAATATCCGCTTGTTAAGTGCGACATCACGCTAAGCATATTCCGGGCGCTCTATCAAACTGAATGGGAAGACTCCTCAAATGGTAATAATAAACATTTACAAAGCGATGTAATACTTTCCAAAATCACAATCGCAATATATATATGTTCTGTATGCGCAACTGTCAACACTCACTCAGACAGTCACAGGGTGCTTTTACACCTTTGAATCGATTCAGTTGTTC